GCAAGGACCATGGCATTGCGTCTTTCTCATTTTCGAATGTAGTTACAATTATAATACCCTGCAGCACTCTTCTCACCATTCCCACTGGTAGATCTTATCTGAGTCACAGCATCTCTTAGCTTGTAACCACAGATGCTCCTTGGATGCTGTGTCTATATGCGTGCATGCAGCAGGTCCCCAAAACAATTAGTAGAAAAAAGAAATGAATGCCTTGGTGATCTTGTTATTCCCGAATCTCTTCTCCTTGACCCTCTTAGGAATAGGTCAGGTGTTTTTGTGTTAAATTCTTTCATTTGAAGCCATCTGAACTAAAATGCCCTTGTTGAATTTAACTAAAAGTAACCTTCCAACAACTTCCCTGGCACAGGCCAAGTGCTGCCAGCCAGTGAATAACCAAAATCATGAAAAGAACCTCAGATACCACAGATTTTGTTCAGCTGAACCCAACAGTGGTGCATATGGTTGAGAAAACAAATGCTGAAAAAGAATGTAGAGAATAGTTAAAAAAAAATTTCAAAAGCCTGAAAAACAAAAAAGGAAATTTTATGTCCTTGAATAATTAAAGGACTTGGGAAATTAGTTCTAGAAAACAGAAGACTCCACAGAGATTCTACAGATGCTAGAAGGAATTAAGAACTTTTCTTTCACAAAGACTGGATGCCAGTTTTTCATCACACCTAAAGAAAATCCTAGCTGCCCCGTATCCCAAATATTCCTTCCTTAAATATTTTGGGCTGTGTTTTTATCACTGGGGTTGATCTAATTATTTTTTACCAAAATATATCCACACTGTTACTGCCTTCCCATTAATTTTCCAGGATTTTCTCTGTGTGAAAATTTTTTTTAAAAAACCTACCCGAAGCTACCTTTGTTCTTTATCGGTATAGAAGGGGTAGCAATGGGTGCTGTTCCTAGCCACAAATATTTATTGTGTACTTAGTAAAATATTAACGTCGGTAGTCAACATTTCAAAGTATTTACTTCATGCCAGGTGCTGTAATATATGTTTTGAATATACTATTTTATTTTATTCTCACCACTGCCCTGTGTAGGAGGTACTTTCAGTTTAGAGATGAAGAAACAGAGGTTTGGAGAGGGTCTGTATTATGCTCATGGTTTGGTGGTTAGTAAGCAGTTGAGCCAGAATCTGCAGCTAAGACATCTGACTTCCAAGCCCATGCTCTTAACTGTTCCACTCCATTTCTTCTCTGTGGGCCAGGAATTCCGTAAATAGTCTGGGATGTTGAAAGAAATAGAAAACCCAGTCTCTGGCCTCAAGTTCTCCCAGAGCATAGGGAGTGGGCATGCTTGGCAGGGGGCAGTGTTGGGCCCATCTGTACCCGATGCCAGAGGAATAGAGCAGGTAACGGAAGCCCATCACATTTGCCCCTGAGGACTGGAATGGGGAGGGCCCTTCAACTTAAGGAGATCAGTTAGTCTTGAAAGTTATTTTCAGCCCCAAACCTGCCTCCCATGTCCATGCTCAACAGAGAGGAAAGGGAACACATTGAAAGAATCACGAGGCTGTCTTGGTAAGAGCTTGGGCTGGAGTTAATTAAACTTGAATCTTTTCTTGATTGAGAACTTCTCATTCCTTCTCACTGATGCCAACATTCTTCGTTCATCTCTTCTGGCAAAACAAGTGGTTTTTTCTAAAGTTAATTTCCAGAGTGTTAGTTTAACTAAGGAAAGGCGCGTTTCCCAGTTTCACTGTCCTTCAGTTGTAGGTTAGGGTCCCTGGAGTATAATCCACGTCCCAGTGCTTTCACACGCAGAATGGGAGCCCTGCTTTATGTAGGGGGACTTAGAGTTCAACCAGAGATGTACCCAGTGCAGCAAACTAAAATGGACTAAGGAGCAAGACAGTCAGAGACCTGGACCCCATTTAGACCTGCCCGTTTATCAACAGCCGCTGTGATGAATGGGGTAGATGCCATTAAATGGCTTCAAAGGCCGGGTTGCCTCATCCCTTCGGAAGGAAGGTACCTGATTTTCTTTGCTTTCCAAGGTCACTTTGGGAATCTGGGTCAGCCCTGCCATTTCAAACCACAATTTTTCCCATATATGGATTTCTAAGAAAGCAACAATGCTAATAAATTCTGTTCATCTTTAACACAACACTATAGGAAGAGGGAAGAAAAAAGATAAAACCTATTTCTTTTGTCTTTGCCTTTTGCTTTTGAAAATGTGTCGCTATGAAAGTAGCAAAATAAAAAGTGACATTATCATTGCTGAAGTCTTCTTTCCAACAAAAGCACCCTGTTCTTGGGGTCATGTATAGGAGAGAGAAGGACCTTTAATGGAGAGATGTCTTTGGACAGCCACCATAGTTTGTCAGTTGCAGATGCTAATGGAACCAGGCTTGGCGACTGAAGGGGAAAATGGAATATGAAAGCAAAATGAAAGAGGCCTATGAGGCAAGCATGTCATTTCTAAATGAAGGTTTCATGCAAAGGAATTGAGTCTTTTCACAGCTGAAAATGGAATCTTTAAATAAGATAAAATAAAAGGATGCTTTGGCTTGTTGCAGGTTCTGTAATGAAATACAGTTTTCCTAATACCGTGTGACCTGCATTTCTCCCTGTTTTATGGGTGCTATTCCTTGACGTACAAACCCGTATTTTCTCAAGTCAGCATTTGATGATGGATGTCAAAATACAGGCCATGTATTATGCATATAGCATTACCGATTTAAGGTGTTTACTTGTCAAGTTGAAGAAATTCAAAAACGTCACATCCACTGAATCTGCACAGCTGTCACTTGCAGTTTTTCATGCTTTTGAATGAAACTTCTGATGAAAACAGTTTAGTTCTCCCCTTCACTCCTCTAAGGGAAGAAAACAACTAGCATTTCAAATGCATCCTCTGGGTTACGTGATTGGCTGAAAAACACATGTTCCAAAGTGTACAAAGATGGACACTACACTGTCATTCAAAATGACTTACCCTGGGCACAGTATATCCATCTAGAGAATAAAATTAAGCACAATTAGGGAATGAATGGTAAATAAAACTTTTTTTTTCTTTCTGAAAGTATGGCAGTCAGTGGTATGGAATTTACACACAGGAGAGCAGAAAATAGGAAAACTCTTTTATATTTTTCTGGCATTTCACACATGGCGCATCTCCAAAACAATAGGCAATTATCGAGCACCTGTCATTTCACCCCTGGTAGATGAAGAGCCGCAGGCACCTCAATGCCAGAATCAACCCAATCTTGTCACATTACTGGAGTGAGTCAGGAATCTGGTCACAGCATCTTTGGAATTTTGTTCTTGGAAACTTAGCGAGTGACTTTGAATCTCTGCTTCCCTAATCCATTGATAAGCCCCGGTAGCCATCCACCAAGGGCAAAGAAAAGAAAGCTGGTGAACGTGAACTTCTGTCTGCCTGTCCTCTGGTGGGGGAAAGGGGCACGGTGGTGCCCCTTGCCATGTGCTTCACTGGGGAAAATGAATGTTCACCAGATGAATGTGTGAGGGAAATAAATGCCTTGTGTTTATATGTCTCTCTGCACATCCTTAAAGAGGTGGCCATTTGGCCTAGCTAGGATGACTTCCCACCCTCCCTAAACTTGAAGATGTGCTTGGGCCAAGCTCACCCTAATATGTACTTGAGATCTGGGTCCGAGACCCAACGAAGCACAAACTGCAAAAGTCAGAAACCAGGCAGGCTACTCTCCAGTTGACTGTGCTCACATCTACCTCATGCAGTCTGTGTCAGGTGCACTGGGAAGTTCAAGGGTCCACAAAAATCAGGTGCATATGCCGTGGTCAGGATGGTTTCAGTTACAAGTAAAAAGACTCCTCAGTTTGGCTTAAATAAAAGGGAAAAAAATATATATATATATAAATATGTGGTTGTATATATATACTGTGTATATGTATATACACATACGTGTTTAATAAACAATACAACATACATATACATAAACATACATTATATGTCTCATTATGTATATAATATACATATAAAACCTCATTATTATATTTTATATTATAATCTCATTTATTAATGTGTAAAATCTCATGTAGTAAGAAATCCTGAGATCACTTGGTTTTGGTTCTAGGGCTGGTTAATTCAGGACCTAAGGAGAGGTCTTCCAGTCATTCAGTTTTTTTATCATTCACTTCAGCCAGGTCATTAAGTTGGCTTTGTCCTTGACTGGTGCCCATCCTGGTTAAAGGTGGTTGCTACAGTTCCAAAAGCAATGTCCAGTGGATGAAAAGGGAATCTCTTCCTATGTGACTCTTATTAAGAGCAAGGGAACTCTGCCTAAATCCCCCAGAGAGATGTCCTCCCACTTCCCCTTGGCTAGAACTGTGTCAAAAGACCCAGGGTTAAGTCACTCATTGGCCAAAAATAAGTAATCTGCTGGTTTAAGACCACGGTCAGGATAGGTTAGGTTTCGCTGTGGTAACAAGAATAACACAAGCAACAACAAAACAAATTCCAGTGGCTTAAAGCAACAGAGATGGATTCTTCACTCAGAATGCTTTGTGTGTCTGGGCTTCTGTCCAGGGCTGCTGCCCAGCCTTCATCTCCATGGTAACCTGTGTTCCCACTGTTGCCACAGCCTGGGAGGAGAAGTGGCGAGTCAAACACTTGTAGTGCTGATACACATCATTCTGTTTACTCTCCCGGGCCAGTGCGTTTGCTTTGTCACACGTCATATCTAACTTCCAGGAGGCAGAGAGGTGACAGTCCTCATGTCTGCCTGGACAGAGAGAGGAACAAAAATCTGTGAGCAAGATCGATGATTGGTGTAGAGACTGGCTTTTAGGGAACGATCCAAGTGGGTTAGACTGATCTATCGTGGTCTCCTACTTTGTCCTTCTGAAAACAACTCATCCAAGTTTATCCTGGGAGTACTCATTTTTGACTTGTAAATAATGCGTACGTTACTTTTTTGTGTGTGTCGGTACACTGTACTCTCATTATTTCCAAATTTTCCATGTTTCTGATTTTTCTCCTTCTTCTCTTTCCTTCCTTCCCACTAGGGTTCACGCCTCCAGGAATGGACAGATCCTCTCCAGATAACAGCCCAGTGCACGGGATGTTACGCCAGCCATCCATCACGACTGGAGTCAACATCCCCATCATCACTGAACTAGGTAGGCATGCATATCAGCTTTGGGTAGATTTTCTGTCCTCTCTTCTAACCAACCTGGATATGATGAGGTTGACATATCTCTTAGCTATCTCAGTGTGGGAGGCTTGTTTGGGGGGTTTGTCTGGGGGAAGAGTGGAGAGAGGTATGGGTAGAAATATGACAGATGACCAAAGGGAAAACTGATCTATCTTCCCTCTGAGATGAATAGACAGTTTCCCTCATGCTGGTCACTACTTTCAAAGGAACGTGGGATGATGGATTTGAGATTGGGGCATTAATTAGGGACGGGGGAGGTAGGGAGGAAAGGTATAGTCCAAGGAATTTTTTCCAGTGATTCTCATTGGAAGCATCTGTGGAAGTTCCCTCCCCTGAGGCACAAGCCTCAGGTCTAAGCCAACCCCATTTTGAGAACCTCGTAGAAACGCTGGGCTACTGTGTGATCATTCTGCATTTAATCTATCCTAGTTGAACTTTTCAGCTAAAGGCCATTTTCAGTGACTGCCACTCTGGTCCAAAAAATGATGGGGTTTGGAGGGCCATGATCATTGGCCATGGGGATCCAACTTTTAACCTGTTCGTGGCACTCCCTGCTGCTATTTGTGAGTTTGCCAAACTGCTACATGGTCTCTCCCCCAGAAGACAAATACTGACTACCTGTGGTCCTGGGTCCCTTTACTTGAGAATGTTTCCTCTGTTACTCCCTCACTCTTTTCTTTTTCTGTACTTTCCTCCACTCCCTTTCCCCAACCCTTAAATGCTGTATCCAATTAGCTAAACCTGGCAAGTTGCCTTTGGTATCAGTCAATCAGGAAAAAAACAGTGGGACGCACATTCTAATGATAACTGAACTGGGTAAGAAGCACTGTTTTCTTTCACATCAGTATCTCCTATTGTTTTGTGGTTGGTGTTTCCAACGATCATCAGCTTGTTTTTCTTTTCCCCCACCGGCTGTAAGAGAAAGGCTACCCCATGGCACTGCTTTGAATGTGTTTTATTTGTGGCTCTGGTTGGAATCGACTGTCTTGTTCTGGCCTTTCTTAATGATTTTTTTTCCCCACACAGCATCAGTGAACCTTTGATCACACCCATCTGACCTGGCAGTTGTTTCCAAAGCATCTTTGCTCTAATTCATTTTCTTTGGCTTGGGCCTTTTTTTTTTTAACCATGCGTCCCCCCTGCTCCCCCTCCCGCCTTCTCCCTTATACTTCTCTTCCAACACACTGTCAGTTTGACTGACATGTCTTCACAGCTCTCAGAGGAAGTCAAAGGAGAAATATAAAAATTTTAAGATAAGAAACCCGAGACACTGCCTTCCCTCCAGCTGTTTATTTTCCTTTATTCTTACTTTATTTGCCTATTTTTTTTCCTACTAAGCCCTTTCTCAGAAGCTCTGGTTCTGAAGCCATAAAAGCACCCAGCTCCTAGGGGACCCTTTCTTAAAGCCAGGTCTTAAGAAGGATGCAAAGGATGAGGTTAGCAGCCACCAAGGCGCAGCCCTGCACTCTGACCCCCACCCCGCCAGCCCAGAGCCCTCTCTGGGAGGTTCAGGGTGGACTCATCTGGAAGATGAAGGGCTCCAGTCCTGACGGCCTTTGTCAGACTCTTCCACGATTCCCCAGGACTTGGTTAATAACTCCCTGAAAGGCCCCCATCATCAGCAGGTCTCAGCCCTGGGGATTGATCTTCTAAATAGAGGCAGCAAGTGCTACTGGGTGGAGGGTGGGTAGAGAGGTTGGGAGCACCTGCCTCCCAACGACTCACAAATGAAATGAATGTGCCATTTTCTTGGCCCCCAAATATATTTCAAAATCAAAGAGCAGGCTTTTAACACAGTCATCTCGCTTGCCAGGTGTCTGGAAACGAAGAAATAAATTGTCCACCATTCAGCGCTGCATGATTGTAGACTTCGCTATTTATCAGGATGAATTCATTCAGGTCAAGGAGCATCATGCTGTTTTCCGTTTCCAACAGTAGGAGAGGTGTCTTTTTCATGTTTAGAGAAGTTGGATAAAAGCCTAGGTTTCTGGATTGCCCTTCTCCGAACCTTAGGGTTGTGAGAGACCGAGGGAGCTTGTACAGCCCAGACCTCTGGCTGGAAAACTCATCTGAATATCTGTATCTCAGAAAACTCGAGCAACATTTCGAAATCATCACTGCCAGGAATTTCTTAGTCTACTTGGAATTCCTGTGCTGTCAGCTAACCAGGATATCTTGATTTGCGATTAGCAGAAAAGAAAAGGCTTGGTGCCTCCGATCTGAGGCAACAATTCAGACATTCCATTAGCGTCACTGAATCTCCTGAAGCCTTCGTCTCTCACCAGATTTGTTTTATGAGCTCAGAGAACCTTCCGTGCATTCACATCATCCTCGCCTTCTGCCTTAAGCCCAATTTTCCTCCTGGCCATACCACCATAAGCACTCATACCATCATCTCCTGACCACCTCCCCTCCCCTCATCCCCACAAATATTTACTATTTACCAACGTGTTCTGAGATGTGTTCTGCATTACACCAGGCCAGTAAAATGCCTTTTTGAAAACACAGCAGGTGCCAAACAAGTCTTTTAAACTGTGTAGTATGTTCCAGTCTTCATCCACTTGGAGTATCCCAGTGGACGTTAGCAGGTCAGAGGCTCCTGGAAGTTCCACAGCAAGGAGATCTGTTTGAAGGTGTTCAACTGGTTTCCCAGTTGTATTTGATCGCAGACATTTTGGGGTCATTATTTGAGTCACCCCTTAGCACCCACGTAATTACTATTGTGTGAAAGAGGCTTTGGGTAACCCTGGCTGCTCTCCCTCTGAGACTGGGTAACACCAGACAACACCCAGGATACTCACTGACCCCTGGCTGAAAAATCTAGTCACCTCTCAAGTCCAGTACTAACTTTTCCCCATCGTCTTGAAGAGGTAACTGATACTGTTCCTTTTGGGGTGGAGGTGCACACATCTCTTCAGCTCCTACAAGTAATTAAAACCATATCTCTCTGCATCTTGTCCCAAGTTCACATTTTCTAATTCACAAAGCAAGAAGACCAAACCAGGGTGCACATCATGCTTCTAGGTAAATGGAGGGAGGAGAGGAAATGTTACCATGTGACCTTGGTAGCATCCTGAGCAAGGTCTTACCTCCGTGTTTCTGAGAGGGGTAGAGGAGAGCTGGGAATTTTCATAATGTAGTCGATGGACAGGAAATGAGGTCACGAGAGCAGCTGCCATTCATCAAGGTGTTGGGCCAGGCTCACCAAGCGTAATCTCCTACGAGCCTCCTGACCATCTCAGGAGAGCTGCTAATATTTCCCCCATTTTACAGAGAGAGAAACTAAGGTGTCAAATGATAAAATGCTTTGCCCAGGGAGTTGGTGACAAAGCTTGCATCCGATGCCCAGTTGTCAGATCCTGGATTTTGCATTTTCACTCGCCTGTAGTTCAAGTGCTATTAAGACAACGGGAACCCAGAAGTGATAAACTTTGGAAGAACAGAGCAAAGATTTTCCCGTTAGGATCTTTCTCTAGGGAAACAAGATGGTGTCACTTAAAAATAATTCCAGGCCTAGCCTGTTATCCCATTATCATTTATTCTGCCTCATAGGATAAACAAACAAAAGGTTAAAAAAAAAAGAAAGAAAAAGAAAAGTTATCCCGAAAGTTCCTTTCGGAAAAAAAAATTAAAACAATAACTCTAGGAAGGAGAATTAGCTGCTGATACCTTTAGAAAGGAATCAGAAAAAGGAAACCTCATCTATTCTTTTCCTAAAAGCACAATAATTATTCCAGAAATCACGAGCACTCATCTCCTCCCCCACCACACACTTTCCTCCCTATTACTTGTGCTGCAAAACTGATCATTTCTGAAGCCGAGATGGGAATGGAAATTAATTTGTCATTTAATTTTTAATAAGTTAAAGACATCTCAGTGACACAGCCAATCAGTCTGCACGTGCGTACAGAGGAGTCCTTGAGGAATCCACAGATGGAAATGAAATACAGCATCAAATGCTGCATCTGCTTGAGCTGAAGCCCACAAAAGATTGAGCTGTTTAGAAGGGGAAAGGGAGAAGGTGGGCGTCCCCACGCAACTCAGAATGCAGAGCAAGTCTTTGTCAGCAAGCAGCCGAAAACAGGCAGGGATATATCCCACCTGGGGTCGCCTTTGTGTTGAACCAGACTTGTTGGGTGTGGGTCTGGATTCAGGCCCCGCCAGACACCAGGCGCTCCCCAGACCCAACCCCCGGGGAGGCAGTGGGTTGTGCCTGAGGGTGGATGCCTTGCTACTGGCCTTTGCTGCTCCCAGTCTGTTGCTCTTCACTCTCAATCAATTGCTTTCTTTTCCTTGTGGCTAAACTTACCATCCCAGCATGGCTACTCATGGCTCCTCATCCTTGAAATATGTCCATCTCTCAAAGGACTTGGCTACCAAAAAGCGCTCCAGGGTATTTTTTTGTCATGATCCTAAAACTCTACCAAAGAATTGACCAGCACTGCCCTCCGGCTCTCCACCAGCCTGCCGTGGAGCACGTCTGCTTGACGTCACAGCTCTCCAGGCCTGGGGACCTCAAACAAGCACATCGGAGCAGTCCGTTGAGCCCACCGACCCCCTCCCCGAGATCCATCGAAAGCTTCTCCCATGCTTTCCTTTCCTTTTCAGTGACTTCAGTGTTTCTAAACCAGTAGCCTGTTCTGTCTCTGACTTGGCTGCCCGCGTGTGGTCTTTTGAGCTAATTCTTACTTTGCGCTTTTTCTAGTGAATGATACTAACGTTCAGTTTCTGGACCAAGACGATGACGATGACCCTGACACAGAACTGTACCTCACGCAGCCCTTTGCATGCGGGACAGCGTTTGCCGTCAGCGTCCTGGACTCACTCATGAGCGCGGTGAGTAGGTGGGGGACATGGGGACTGGGCACCTCCCGCCTCCAGCCTCCAACCTCCGGTGTGTGAAAGGCACGGGCTGAAGCCTGAGCTTCGGTGGAGAACAGACCCACGCCGAGCTGGCCGTCTGGAGGGGAGACCCAGATTAATCAAACTAACACACAAACGTCTGATTGTAAATTCCTGAAAGGGCCAGGAAGGCTCAGAACAAATATAGGTGAGCGCCCGATGTGATCTCAGGATCAGAGAGAGATTTCCCCAAAGAAAGAATATATGTTTTCTGTCAAGATCTGAGCCATAACGAGGGGAGACATTGTGGGGAAGCGTATCCTCCAAAGGACAGCAAAGGGGAAGGTGTTGTGGGGGGACAGCACCTCACAGGTGCAGAGGAGGCAAAGCGAGCCTGGGTAGCTGGACCTCGGTGAGAGGAAAAGGGGGGACGAGGCAGAGGTAGACCCGCAGGACCTCAAAAGCCATTTTCATATTTTTGGTCTTTTTTTTTTTTTTGCAAAGTGGATTTCCAGTTGTACCATCTAAGGTTTTGTTGTTGTTTTGTATTTTATTTTAATTAATTCATTTATGTCTTAGGGGGTTTTTTTGAGGGGGAGCGGTAATTAGGTTTGTTTACTTATTTATTTTTAGAGAAGGTACTGGGAATTGAGCCCAGGACCCTGTGCATGCAGAGTATGCAGTCTACCACTTGAGCTATACCCTCCCTATATCTCCCCTGCCCCCGTCTTTTTCTTAAGAGCAGAGAGGAGGCATGGAAGAGTTTTAAGATGGCAAGTGATGCGATCAGCTTTATGTTCTCAGGGGATTGCTGGGCAGGTGTGTGGAGAAGGGGTCGGGAGGCAAGACAGCAGCAGGAAGTCTGAGTAAGAGGCTATCGCAGCGCAGAGCAGGAGAGAGCTGGCAGAGCTGGAGGGAGGTAGACGGACTAGAGCGCTGTCCATCAGTATAGTTGATGGGACTTGGGAATAGATTGAATATGAGCAGAGGGTGGTAAGGAACAAAGTGTCCAGAGGGACTCCTGGGTCCCTGCCAGTCACTGAGACGGAGTCCTGGGAGAGGAGTGGCAGAGAGGTGGGGTGGCTGAGGGAGCCAGAGCATCTTCAATTTCTTTTATAACTTGATGTGCATCAAAGAATCAAGGCTTTTGTGTTTTCACTTGTGAGACCGAAAACAAATAACGGTTAAAAAGTAGGTCGTGTCTTAAAGGAGCCATCTTGAACTACCGAAGGCAAAAGCAGGCAGCAGGCTGGGGATTGTGCCGTGTTGCCAATGGAATCTTTATTTACTCCAGAGAAAAGCTCTTTTTATTTTGGAATTCTCAACTTCACCATAGGTAGAAACACAGACATGGGCTGGATAAAAACAGACTTTTGATGAATCCACTAAAAAAGGGTTTTATTGAACACACGAAGACCGTAAACATAGCTCAGGGAGTTTTCATACACATAGATTTCCCCCAGTGCTTAAGGAGGCTGCTCTCCTGCCTGTGTTAAATAAGTCATGTGTTAATTATGCATCAGTCTCCTCTGTTCATTAAAGCTAATCCCAGAAGGACCTCTATTTGAGGAAAGGAAAAACATCAAGCTTTTTAAGACTAATTTAGGTTATCCTATATTCCTGAATATGGCCCAACTATAAGCATATTTTAGTTAAAAATCAGAATTATGGATTTAAAAATAAATATGAAACAACATTCATCTGAATTAAGGTTGACTGGGCTTCATGCCATCCCACTGCCTTCCAAGCCAAGAAGGGGAGAAAAACGGCCCCTCTTGGTTTCCCTGGGCTCGTGACCTTTCTGAGGACCTGAGGATACTGAACCGCATCTTTCTGCTTGCCAGTGATGTTGGGCTCAGTTTGGGCAAACTCCTTAAACAGAGACCAGAGGGAATGATAAGTGCTACAGGGTGTGCTCACTGCGGTCCCATATGCTCCATAACAGTCTGCACCGTCTTCAAATCTACTTTCATACAGATTTCTGTAATTCATCTCCTCAGAAGTTCCATTTCACTTCTGATCCTAGTTAGATTTCAGAAGACTCTTCTCACCAAGAGGCGATTAAACCGTTTATAGTAGATTTTTTCAGAACTACAAAGTACTGTATCCAAATTTTAAATTTTATTTATTTATTTATTTTTATTTATTGAAGTATAGTTGATTTACAATGTTGTGTTAGTTTCTGGTGTACAGCGTAGTGATTCAGTTATACATAAATTTATATTCTTCTTCATATTCTTTTTCATTCTAGGTTATTATACATTGTTGAATGTAGTACTCTATCCAAATTTTTAAAAATCCAAATTTATAAAATTGTTTGTACATATCAGACATTCAGTATATTCCAGGCAGGACCAGCTACATAATTTGAAAGGCTACTTTTTCAGAAGTTACTAAGAATTGCAAAATGGTGACAGCAGAACATTGAACCAAGTGAGAGGTCCTTCTGAGCATGGGCCCTGGGTGACAGCTACAGGGGGGCACATGGTGGCCATGGGGTGGGGAAGGGGGGCAAGTCTAGATGTGAGTTACACAGCTGTCTGTCTACAGCATCGCAAGAGAGTCAGTTCTTGGAAGCTCAGATAAGAAATCAAAGTGGATTGGTTTGAAAATTTTTTTGAGACCTGTCTCTAATCTCCTTTGAAATGCAAACTACAGTGTTTGGGCTGAGGCATGTATGAATACCGCAGTCTGTGAGCAAAGCAGCATTTCTTCTGAATTTTAGGCTGGGAAAAAAGGGTGTCAGGTATTTGGTAACTGTCACTGTCATTATCATTAGCAGCATGATTTATTGAGGGTCCAGATCTGTACAGAGCACTTCATTATTATTATTTTGGGCAATATTATTTTGGACATCTTATTTTGGACGATAATGAGAATTAGCCTGATTTAAGTATTGGGGGAAGACCTGTTTACCTGATCCACTGTTGTGACTCTTCAGATCATTAATCAAAATGCTGAGCCACTTATTGCAGGCCTTGATTTCTTTGTCTAAAATGGACAAGTTCCACAGTGAGGTCTTAAACTGGATCTGGTTGCACAGACCCAACTGGGTCCAGACCTTCTGATAAAATGTTCCTTGTAATTTTGTTGCATTCTTCCTCAACCTTAATTTATGAAAAAAAAAAAAGAGGAGATGGTCTAGTACCAAGGCAGTAACTAGGAAGAACTAAAAGAGTTGGCAGGAATATAAATTGAGAAAGCGGGACTGCAAACAGCAGGAGCCAGAGGTAAGCTTCCCTCTCAGACATTCGCTTACAAGCAACATCACAACATCCACACACACATCCCTTTAGATGTCAGTGATCTCCCTCTTCTAGCACTCCTCCCCAAATTGCCATTTAATCATGTGTCTAAACATTCTCTGAACATTGTCCTTCATAACTCAACTCCTGCTGCTTACTGCTTCATTTGTTAAAAAGAAGAATGTTTTGATTCATCCCATGCGTTCCTGGGACAGATAGGGGTGTTACGACATGGCCTCATGGCTCTCTCCTGCAAATCAGCAGCAGAAACACATGATGAGAGGGAATAATTATGCTCATGGGTATATGCCTCTAAGAAGAAGATCACAAGAAATGTAGTTTTCAGAATGATCCAGCTGAATGCTCACACACACATGAAAAAGATGAAAGGAAGGCTCCCTGTGCAACTGGCACATGAGTATGTAGATTTCTTTGCTACACAGCCACCACTTTCCCCTACACTCACCCCAATTTGAGTTCTGCCTGGTCTCCCCCCCAAAAGACAAAAATAAGTCAGGGACTCAAGAGCCAGTGTAGAGCCCAGCACTGCCACTTACTGGTTGTATAACCTTAACCTCCTTGCGCCTTAGTTTTCTCATCTTTAAAAAGGGGATAATAATGGTACCTACCTACCTCGTAGGACTGTTGAGATGATTGAATGAGCTAAGGTTGCAAAGTGATTAGTGCAGTGCTTTGTACATGCAAGCTCTCTGTGCATTTCATGTTACGAATCAGTACATTTATTGGGCACTTACTACATGCCAGGCAGTATTGTCCATGCTGGGGATCCAACAGTCATAAAGAAGGATGAAGACCTTGGCCTCATGTGGTCTGACCTGTCATTCCAGTGGGCAGTCACTACGCACGTGACGGTAACTGTGTCAGTGGGTACGTGAATAATATCAGATAGGGGTAATACACTTAAAGAGCATCAAATGGTGTGCATGGGGATAGAGACCTGTATTAGCCCCAGTGGTCAGATCAAAGCTGTCTCACAAGGTACCTTGGAAACTGACAGTGATAAATCAGAATAGAACAGCTGAGGGGTGAGGACGACTCACTTTCCCAGGCAGAGAGCTGGCCTCTCAATTTGCCAGAAACAACTGAACTTCTGCTGGGAAGGCGGGAGGCTGTGACCATCTGGAGGATGGACCCACATGACTTCCTCTGTTAACTTTACCTGCATTAAGGGCTGGACCCTTGAAGGGTGTTATGGAGAAGGCTGAGTTCTCTGTCAGCCTGGGCTGAATCAGTGCAATGCATGTGATGTCAGTTACAGAAACAAATTACTGCCCCGCAGCTCTAGTCCTCACCCTCAACTCAAGAGCCACCGTTTGTACTACTCACGAGGAGACAGACAGTCCGTGGGCCACCCCGTGGCAGATGAGCTAGCACACATGTCAGCATGGCAAATGGTGGTAGGTTCCATTGGACTCAGAGCATACCATCCCCGTCACACATCAGGCCCGGCAGGCCCAGGATTGAAAAAAAAAAAGTCAAATTGTTCACATCCCTCATGAAAGAAAAATACTAAAAATAAAAATCTACACCATGAAAACTAGCAAATATAAAAAATGGCAGCTATGACACGGAAAATGACAATTTTCGAGCAATTATAAACGAAAGGCAAAGTGCCATTAAAGTTAAGGCAATGTTATTAAAAGATGTGTTAATTTTCAGTTAAATTTTCTATAAAAGACCAATTAGTTTAAAAGGCTTGACAGCATTAACTGTGAAACATAAGCTCTG